CACTGACTTCCAAATAATTTTCTTCCCTATCCTATGGAAATCAAAGGGGTCCATCAACAGTTCGGTTACCCATATTCTTAAAGATATTTGTGTTCAGCAGAAGAGAGACATGCATACAGGTTTGGAACAACTTGAGGGTAAGTTAATGATGACAGAATTTTCATTTTGAGGTAACTTATCCCTTTAGTAAATTTAGCAACAATACATTATTAAATTGATCAAATGTGACAGTAAATACTTTTTAATTGTTACAAAAGATTTCAATTTCAATTAAATGCTATTCTATTCATCAAAGTATCTGGAAACAATGTATCATGGTTTCTTCAAAAATGTTAAGCAGCACAACTGTTTTCAACATTGATATAATAAGAAATGTTTCTTGAGCAGCAAATCAGCATATTAGAATGATTTCTGAAGGATCATGTGACACTGAAAACTGGGGTAATGATGGTAAAAAATCAGCTTTGCCATCACAGGAATAAAATGCATTCAGATAGAAAACAGTTATTTCATAATATAACTATTTACTGTGTTTTTGATCAAATAATGGCAGCTCTGAGTTTAAGAGACTTCTTTCAAAAACATTTAAAAGATCTTACAGACTCCAAACTTTTGAAAAGTATTGTACATATGTAGAATGATATCTTATAAAGGTATATTAAGAATAGTACAAAAAATTGTGATTACCCTCAATGGGAAAACTTGATATAGATTGATCTCAAGAAATATACAAAGTCATGATACTCTTGGGAACATCCTCTGTTTGACATGACCCATTTTATGTGAGTAAAATTTTGCTGTAATTTTCAGACAAATGAAGTGGCCCGTTCATATACAATACAGTACTGTAGATTTGCTAGCTGATGATGTCACAGGCCTCTGAGCTCTATTAAACCATTTCCCCCCATGGAGAGAGATTCCCACCTCATTATATAGCTCACAGTCTCCTCATGGACAACTGCTTCCACATTAAAAACATCTATCAGTATTCCGCATCCTGCTTGAACAAGAAACTTACATAAAATGACATTTTCATTGTTCCCAGTGGGATGCTGTGGTTACCCGTGCAAAACACACACTCACACTCTCATAAGCAAAGCTGCTGCTCATCAGCAATTCACACCAAACTCATTTTCTTCAGCACATCTCATGTCATGTCATGTCATGCTCCAGGACCAAACACTGGCAGCAGGGTGAGGTGGTAGAAAATTACTCAAAAAGAGAGAGACAAGAAAACAGACAATGGACCTTTCTTAAATTTGTCTAAAATACAAATACACCAGATCACATAGTATATAAAGCCCATGAAATGCAATTTTTACAAACCCAATCCAAAACACACTCATATCAAATCGAATTTCAAGTCGTTTTTTCATTGTTGGGGAAGCAATGGGCAAATGGGTATATAATGGAATTCACAAGAGCTGTCGTGTCTTCAAATCATTTATTTGCTCACATGTGTAATTCACTGTATATTGAACGGTGAAATGAACAAACCAGTGAGCATTTTTGGACACAGTATAAGCAGGTTTTATTCAGGTTGCTTCACACTTGTCTCAGACCCATACATTAAATCTTAAGCTTTAAAAAAAAATGCTTTGAAAGTATGATGCCGTAAACATAGCAAAATACACGTAAGGAAATTTAATATTTATTGTGTAAAACATACATTTAAACTTAAAAAGACTTTCCCACAGTTGTGCCATTATTTCCACCAAAGTTTTTTTTCTTTAAAAAGTGTACTTATTTACAAGAAGGCAACAGTGAAATTAAATCTGTAAAAAATATTAAATCTGTATATAGAAAACAAACAAAAATCAAAACAAATATCACTTGTGAACAGAATACAGTATGTTTATTGCATTCAAAGTGCAGCTGTAATTTTATCAAATTATGCAAAAAAATAAAAATAAAATAAAACCGTGTGTATGTAGGATGCATAAAATACTAGTTAGTAAATTAGCCACAGCAAAAAAAAATTATATTTCCATTACATCATTTCATCACACCAGCTATTCCCGTCTCTTGGCTTGGCGTTAGTCATTACAGCAACCAATGTAGATATACTGAATATTGCAGGCTCATTAGAAAAAAATGTGCCTGTGGTAACATTTCTCCAAAATTATATTACGTTGCTTCTTGCATGTTTCACGACACTTTCGAAGTAAAATGCCCAGTAAGTGATGCTAAAAGCGTTTTATCCGAAACAGATGAACGTGAATCTGGCAAAATTTACTATGTTGGTTGTTGTACGTTTCACAGAGGTTCAGAAATTAAATGTCTGGTGACAACCCTACTCTAAACCTAACCAATAGTGTTAACAAAATTGGAATAAAAATGCACTTGATGAGGTAACCATACCATTTTATCTTGAGCTCTTTTATCTTGACCCAATTGCTCCACATTGCGAATGCAATGCTGTACCAGGTGAGCTCCTGAGCAAGTTAAATTGAAAAAAGCCATACATGTGCACGGGCCAGTTGCATTGACATAGCCATTATGTTATGAGACTGTCTTAAGAACTAGTATGGCCAACTAGCAGTTAATTAGGGGTCTCACTTTTCGGTATCAAATTAGGCAAATGTACATTTTTATGTGACTGACTTAAAGTTATTGTAGCAAGGTCTGTTATTCAGGGAAGAGGGAGGCGGGAACCGGCGAACGTTCAAACACTTTAATATCAAAATAAACAAACCCAAAACTAAATTAAGGTGGCAGCCCCTCACGGACGACTGCTGCACACACATTAGCAAAACATAACTTAAATGTCCAGGCCTGGGGCCTCATTTATAAACGTTGCGTACGCACAAAAGAAGGCGTACGCCGCTCTCTACGCAATAATTGGTATTTATAAAAAGCAAACTTGACGGTAAAATGTGCGGTCCTTCACGCAAGCTCTGACCCAGGCGTACGCACAAAAACGGGTGAAATGAGAAATGGCGACACCGTCGGCAGATGGAAGAAACACGTGAAAGTGTGTGAAACTGTAGACCGTTGTGTAAAATAAATGGCAATACTTCCTCTCCTAAATAACACGAAGACGTCACAAAGCAAGTATTACAATTAACAGCCTACACGAACACCCGTTTGATCGATCTGCAACAGAAATGCAAATTAACACATATTTGCAAAAAGAAAAGTGAAATATGTTCTGCAATAATATTGGCATGTTCATCCTCATAAATAAGATGGTAAACAGAACGAAATAATGTACAAAACTGATATTCTCGCCAATGTGTCCGTCTGGCGGAGCAGATAGTCAGATAGATAGATAATTAGGGAGAGATAGATATAAATTGATAGATGTATTATTTTTCCACTGGGGAAAGTTGTTTTCATAGTAAAAATGTCTTCATCAGCTACGTAATCATGGTATTCATGCAGGTATTTCATGCATATGCCTTTAGTTTGTTTTATTTTTGATAAAATAACGTATGACGTATGTCTCAACCAATCAGAAAGCTGCAAGAAATTACATTTGCGCTGAACTATTTCTTATTTCCAAGTAGATTATAACTGACATCTGTAGCTTGTCATTTCTTTTTTATTTCGGCCACAGTCCGAGGTTGTGAGGCTACAGCATTTACGGCGTCTGCAACCTTTTGCCACTCAAGTGCCTTTTTGGCATTAGTAATGCCCACACTGTGCCCTCCAAACAACATTTTTTCTCCTCTTTTCCACCTCGCCAACGATAACTTCTACTTCGCATTGAGTGAAGATACGTTTTTTTGATTTCCTCTCTATGTTTGCCATGATTTCGCAATCGATGAATATTAACTTGTGGGCGTTTCACGGACTATTTATGGGCAACTATGGGCGTGACATGAAGCCGCAAAAGCTGCGCTACATTTAGAATTGATAGTGATTTATTAAGGGGAAAATGCGTAGGATGTGCGTGCGCACGGTTTTATAAATCTGAATATTTCTGTGCGTACGCACGTCCTATGTTTCATCCGTACGCCACTTCTGACGCAAATCCTACGCAAAGTTTTATAAATGAGGCCCCTGGTCCTGGTCCTAGACTGTTGTCGCTCCTCTTTTTATGCTCCTCCGTGAGAGATTCGAGGCCAGTGTGGTGCGCAGATGACACTCATCAATCACGCCACCGGCCTTGCACCGTTCTAACGGCTCTCGGCCCCGCACTGCTTGCAACAGTTATGAACATCTTAAAGAATTAAGAAAATTTGATGACTAACTTGTGAAACTAGTCCTTGAAGTTTATGCAACCTGCCCATGATGATTATGTGAAGCAAATGTCAAAATTACAAATTACAAATCATGCACTATGGTAAACGTGTTTTGAGGTCATGACAGTTTTGTGCAAGGGATCACGCGAAAATAAGTCCTTATTAATCAATAACCTGTCCCATAAAAAGAATAATGTAAAAAAAGAATACAAGTTTTTGCCAAATTTTATTGCCACTAGTGTCTGATATAATTACTTACAAATTGACTTACAGATTTATTCCTACTGATCAGATTTAATCAACAAACTGGAGTTAGGTGCAGTGTCACAAAACCAAACTTTTATTTTCAAGTTCCACATTTCTGAGCAGATCAACTTTTAACAGAATTAATTGCAAATCCTGCCTTTTTGGCAGTTTCACGGCTGAGAATCACTATTGATTTTTGTTTTCTGACTCTCTAAATCTTTAGAGGCTTTTTTCACATTAAGTCCTGGGCAGTAGATTCCAATGCACCCAAAATATAATTAACCTCAGGGCTCATTCGGGCTCTTAGAGTGACAAATAATTCAATTAATAGTCAGATAATCGGCTGATGTTAATAGCATTAACTATGATTTCTGCAAGTGTCTGCTGCCAAAAACCTAGTGATAGATCCGAGTGAAAATGCAGCAAAATGATTCAACACACACAGGAATTTGTGTCAAAGAGAAAAAGAGGAGAAACTGTGAGAAGGGGGAGGGTGCTAGTGTAGTGGAAGTAGTTGTAGCAGTTCATCATCAGTGTCTAGAGGAGGAAAGCAAAGGAGGAACACGGCATAACTGAAAGACAAAGAGGCGTAAACAGCTGGCACGCTGCTGCAGCGTCGCAATGCCAACGAAAAGAAACTTGCCTGCCAACATCCAAAATCAGGGCTAAAGAAAGACACCGCCAGAGGAGAGCCAAAGGATTGTGGGATCCTGGCGTAGTCAATAGGGCCAATCCTCAGGGACAACCTGCTAATTACAAAGTCAGCCAAAAGTCAGGTGACCAACTCCTGCTTTTCTTACACTCTTCCACCAATTATCTTCCTTCTATCACTACCTTTTCCTGCTGAGTTTGTCCTGCTTGCTCTTGTTCCTCATGCACTCTGGACGATTCCTCGACGGTTCTTGTCATTATTCATGTTTTCTTTAGTAAACTGCTTCTGGCACAGTTGTGTCATCATTTGGACTCTGCTTGCTGAACCGGTGTGGTGCAGTGGCAGACGTGGAGGCCCGTCCTCGGGCAGATGCACTGCGACTGTAGAGATGAATGAAAACCACTTGGATTAATGAAGCAAATTCAGAACAGTTGAAGTTACTGACAGCTTCCCTAAACTTCTCACCCTGCCCCCTTTACCATGAGTAATAGTCTCACACAGTTGCTGATACTTAAGATTACTGCAGTAAATGCTGATTCACACACACACTCGTGCACAGATAGAGAGCTGTTCAATAAGGAATGCATCAACTATTATTGGTATTATTATAACAAAAAATTATTCATAATTTATTATATATAAATATCAATAAATACTTTACTTGCTTTACTTTCAAACGTTAAAATACTGTTGGGAGAACTTAAAGTTGGCATGAAACCGAAATTGTGATCGTTGTTTCTTTCCAATTGTGAGGTATATTACTGAGCAAAACAGCTTCTCAAATGAGATAAAAATGTAAGACGGGACTTGATTGGTTCATAGTCGTTTTTTTAATGAGCTGAGACGAGAACGACTATCATCTCTCTCTTTTCGTACAGATTACATACAATGAGAAAAACATTTTTTTATATAAATTACTTCATTTAAAAGAAGATAATTCAGGCTTCATGGCTGTGTGCCTGTGTACCTGTTTGACTGAGTATTTGCAGAGTTACAGATGATTTTTCGGACGCGTTTCAGAATGTACTTCACTGACAGAGAGAACGCAGAACGCGCATCATGTTTATTTTTCTTTATTAGGCGAAAAGCACAACACTTTGTTTTTATTATGAGGTTCCACAAAAAAAATACAAACTTAACAGGATCGAATGATGTACAACACTTATATGTAAGATCAAAATTAACAGAGTAATTTGAGTCTCTTTTGCACTGATAAGGAAAAAAGTGAGCTGGTATCGCCGGCGAGACCGCCGACCCCAGAGAGTTAAAGTTAATTTGACCACGCCCACGGAGCGCGCGCTCTATTCAAACACAAATGCTCTGAGGCGATCCACGCCCACACCAGCTGGATAACCACCGAAAGAGACTCAGATTTACGACGCTGTGAGGAATAATAGTACTATCTTAATAATAATCCTGGAAAAAATTACCTCAGAAGTAGGCTACAGGTAGTTTCATTTGGAGGAGCAACGGATCCAGCCGAGGAAATAGGTACATTCTTTATTTTCAAGTGCTTTGTGCTAATCGCGATATGGAATAGTGTCTGTAAACAAAAAGACTGTTTGAATCGCGTTTTTGTGTGTGAATGAATGAACAACTTTTACCTAACTATATTCCAATGCTGAGATGAGTAAAAATCGACTGAAATATGTTGAAATAAAATGTTTTTTGTATAAGCAACGTATTAAACTGCAAATTAACATTTATATGTCCTAATCATAAAAACGATGTGTTACATATGAAAGACAAGATGTCGTTTTTACTGTAAAATAATGCCACATCAAATAAGCTTGTTTGCTAAGATGTTATTATAGTGTTTGTTCGATTGTAAGCTATATTCAAACTAATTAATCCGCAACTGTGAAATATGTATGATAAAATGTATACTTTAGTATATAATACAAAGAAAGATTACATTTGAAATAGTTACATTTTAATTGTTGTTGTAATTGTAACCTTTTTATTAAAATAGCAAAAATATATGTAGGCTACATATAAATAAATCTTAGGTAAATCTTAAAAGCTCAATATAAGCCTCCTCTTTAAATTATTTGTATTGTGTTTTATTAGTGACACATTTGGGATACATTCCCAAACTTTCTGTAAAAACAGTATGATAATTAACTGCACAATTACTATAAATTTTTACATTTGATATTATACAATTTGCAAGCACAATTTGAAAAATAAATAAATAATTGGAACTGTGAACCAATTTTGTATTATATAGGCATATATATATATATATATATATATATATATATATATTGTCATTGCATTGCATTCTTGTGGCTCAGTGACACACCTGAATGAAAGGGTCATTAGTATGCAGCCCCATTATGCGCTCATTATGCGGGCCCATTGTCTTCTCAGGTGTGAATCACAGCAGGTCACACCCCTGCGCATATTGCCTTTCCAAACAAAAAGTGTCATTTTTAAATTTAAACCAATCTATTGTTTAATTTAAATGATAAGGCAGGATGATTTTCAGATCATTTTGAAGAAAAAACTCTAGGCCACAACACCCATTAGTCAAAAGTCTTGTGGACAGATATTTAGTATGTGTTTTGTGGCCTTATTTCAGAAACTTTAAGTTTTAGTTTTTTCAATAACCACGCATAAACAATATTCTCTCAAAAATACAAAAATGTACATACATGTTGATAACACATTATGGTAGCCCTGTGTGTGCTAAATAGAGTGTAATTACACCTTTGCCAGTAATATGTTTATAAGCAACTGAAAAAAGCACAAATGTCAGAGTATGTCAAAACATCTCAAGGACCCCAAAAACACCTTGGACCCCAGAGGGTTAATTGCAGGGACCTCATGCGAGTGACAGGTTGGTGGAAGGGAGAAATTACTGCACTAACCTCGTGCAGTATAGTTTTAGTAAAAGATAATGTTTTGGTTAAAGATAGCAACATGCTAATGTTAAATGCTATTAAAATAAGTTGAGTCTGATGTGTGGAATGCTATTTGTGTGGCGTCTGGCGTGGGGAGTTACTGCCTACAGTATGCCTATGAAGCAGCTCATTATGCTAACAAACAGAGTACAGCACTACAAAAGCGGCTATTGTAGAACTGAAAGAGCTCTATATATTTAACATGGCACAGCGTATATGTGTGTTTGTGGGTGGGTGTGACCACTCCTGTCTGTATCTTCTCCACTGTCTGTTTACTGCAATGCAGGAGTTGCTCTTTGACTGTATTCAGTGGAAAGCGCACCAGGGAATTTCACTGAGACCTTTGTGTCAGTTCCTACTGGTGCGTGAGAAACATCATTGCTTGTTATCTCCACTGTTATTTACAGACTCTGTTCATTGATAAATGACTTTAGAGAGGCTTGAACAGAAGTGACAACACTGAAACGCTAATTTGTCCTCATTCCTTGCCTTTCTTTCTCTCCCTTCCTGTTTGTCACTCTCTCTGTGCCACTCTCTACAGCATTACCAACATGGTGTTTTCTGAAACCATAGCTCTAAAGTACATTCACAAATAGCATCGCAAACTTGTGTGGTTGGAACTACTGCAGTATAATCTGATAATTAATTTGATATCAAACCAATTCATTAGCAGACGTTATTACTCCACCACCTGCGTGACGTCATTAACAACAGTTCTATACTAGTGTTAAAATGATGAATGTGCAACAAAGTTACTGCTGTTTCTGGAAATAGTTGTGACAGGCTAGTTGATTTCTCCAATGATACATCATACTATGATAGTTAAATGCACCATGGGTGGTTGCAAGGGTGTTGTTAGGTGGATACTAAGGTGTTCTGTGTGGTTGTTCGGTTTTTGCATAACAGTACCTAGTTATGGATACGTCTATGTGCTTTTAACATCTGTTATCATCCACCAAATTAAACATGGCAAGTCTCTTAGAAAGTCTCTAAGATCTCTTAGAAAAGTAACAACTTTAGTCAATAAGCCACATGATTTGTATCATTGATGTCTGCAGCAGAAATGCCGTTAGAGGACTAACTTGCCAAATTTTAATACATTTAAGTAATTAAATCCCTAACTCACACAATGCACAATAATAATACTGTAGTCAGGCTTCCCTTAGCAAGCACCACTAATAAAAAGAATGTAATAAATTGAGAGACATTAAGCGTGTTGAACAGGAGAGAATGCTGTGGTGCAGTACTGCATGCCAGTGTTAGGGTGGGGACTCGGGACTGCTGCTGGAATGGTGAGAGATGTTAGCTGTGGTGCTGCCGAAGAGGATGCGAAGACTCTATAGAGGAAATGCTTTGGAGGTAGAGGGTGAACGAGCAAGTACCACGGCAAGGTGTTATATTGTGCAGGCAATATTAGTACTTATTATTAGTACTAGGCAATGTGCAGCAAGGTATAAAATTGACCTCATCCACTTAAAGATCAAAGTACACTTCTGTTTTTGTGTATGCTAGAATATGGTCATAGTGCACATGGCGTGAATTTCATCATCAGCATAATACACGCATACAATCTGATTTTTCTAACCGCACGTAAGCTGTATGCTCAGTTTGCACATGTGCCTTTTTTTGCACAAATATGTTCGTCTAAAAGGTGGTGAAACTGGCCAGCTGCATTAAAACTGAAGTACATTTTGGAGTTACTTTGGGGCATTTGTTCTATCTTTTTGTACCATCTTCTTGTCAATTGCTTGATTTCTATTACTGTTAAGTTGCACCGGATAGCCCCTCCAACTTTGAAAATGCTCCACATTAAAATTAAATTGAGATGACAAAATTGTATGGCAAACCTACAAACCGAACCTAAACCTAACCATAAGGTTCAGCTCCATACCCTAACCCTAACCCTAACCAAGATGGGGACCAAGGCCTGCTTACACCAAGACAAACAATTGGGTGTGAAAATGTTGTACAATAAACATTTTCAGATCAGATTGAAACGAGCATTTGCATGCTTTCAATGCTTTTTTCTTTTCCATCGCACTCAAATAAATCTGGCTAACTGATCAGATTTGCTCTTTTGGTTGCATGCCCAGAGCCGCTGCTGTTACATAAAACCATGACTTGGTACTCACAAACGACTATTTTGCTAACTGACAGTGAATAGCAGTGGAAGAATCTGGAACCAGCTCTTTTGTCTCTGTACTCTTGTATTTAGTGTTCTTTGATACAAACCATAGTGAATACAAAAATCTGAACGGCTGTTTGAAAACATGCAAATACCATTCAACCAAGCGGGTGTAAAAAACGAAAATTGACTAAATGGTTTGTGTCCCAGAGTAACCAAGGTATTTCTGCTTTCCTGAAAGTGCCACAGTCAGAGAGTGAATCAGCGTATTCATTCAGCCCCTTGGTTCAGTCGCATTGGTCTGAAGTTGAACAGACAAATTAAAGGCAATGTCAAACATTCATGTTGG